GGTTCTCAACCAAAGTTTTGCCTTGATCTTGTAGTCCTTGAACTCCATCCCATTCAGGAGGAGGTCCCGCCGTCGTCCTCTCCGCTTCATCCCGGGCTGCGTAACCCCATTGAGCCATAGGTGCAGCGAGAGGATCGTTGTGGTGCATGCCACCCATGCCATGAAGGTGAACTAACTCTGGTCGGTTCGCTCCTGGCGTAGGTGGCCTCGGAGGTGCATTGGCTTGCCGCCACTGCAAAAACTGGATGTACTCGGCATTCGCCGGATCTGGATCCATAGTCCCCATCCGATTCCATGGGTCCTGTCGAACCCATGGGTCATAGCTCTCGGAGCTATGGGAACCAGGTGGTTCTGTCCTCATCCCGGCCGCAGCGGCCGGGGCAGCGGCAGCATGTGGATGCCGTTCATCTTCTTCAGGAGGTAGTCCAGGTGCTAAGCCTGGAGGCGGCATCATGGTCGACGGCGCGGCGGTCATCGTCCCTGGATCGAACCTCGGCTCCGCTACCACTGCACAAGGCAGTGGCAGCGTGAACCGGAGCTCAAAGGACCCTTTTGGACATGATGCGCTCGTGCGCTTGAGCCAAATCGTGGCCGGTGGTCTTTTGACCAATGCGCATGCTACCCTGAACATGCAATTATATATATATACACATGTGAATATCTACATTTACATATACACAGGTCATCACAGGTCACCCTACGCACATTGACATTCTTTTGGAAGAAGGCTCGAGGGCCTTCTTGCTGCAACTTTGAACTTGCTAGCAGCATTTTGTAGCTTTTAGGCCATTACAGTGGCTTGCACTTTGGTCCGAGGTGCTGCTGCTTTGGACCAGTGGGGCCCGTTTTTTGGTTTGTCGTTGCCTGCATGCACTACTGCAAGCCCAAGGACCATGACCTTGCATGGCCAGCATTGCACTTTGTTGCTTTTGCACGTTCTCGCTTGACACACGCATTTTGTAATCATTTGATCATTTGGTTTCAGCAAGAAGGATTGAGGACTTAAATCAAATTGCGGTTGAAAAGACAGAATACTCGTATGTGTTGGTGGACTGATACTAGAGTTTGTAGAGGAAACCCAAATGAGCAGCGTTCTAAATTCATCCTTTCTTCTTTGGTCAGGGACCGGCGAAAAATCAGTGAACACAGTGGTTTTAGCTGATGTTTGTAAGTTGTCCGTAAGGCTTGCTGTAATCATGTTCAGATTTGAATGGTGCCTTAAGGCTACCAGAAGCGAAACTTGTTTCCTTTGATTCTGTTGCCTTTCCTGTTTTGCAACAACATACCACATGTGACCACAGTGGACTTGCATACCTCCGCCGTAAGCACAACGTAAGAATAGCCATGCATACATGTGTCACCGTAAGCAACACATTTAAAAAAAAACGTACATAAGCCTTGCGTAAGGCCTACAGCAAGGTTTGATTTCTCGGCAAGAAAAGACACCACAATTTTGAACACCGCTCAAATGACTCTAATCCTTTGAGAGTCTTTAGACATCCACCGCTGTTGATCGCAGGAAGTGCGCCAGAACTTGCCACAAGATGCTTGTTGGGCAAGTGGCGAGAACACACAGACAACTGTTGTGTGGTCAAGTTTTTCTTGCAATCCTTTGTCATTTATTTCTTAGAATCAGGACACCTGTGTTTGGAAACAAGGAATTTTGATACTGAAGAACTTGGTTTGATTGCTATAGACCCAGGACTTAGGGACTTGGGTTGAGCGGTTCTATAGACTGAGATTTGTTGATGAGCACAAGTTCAATGAATATGCGGGTCGCAATTCCACTTTTTGTGAGCCGAGTTAGAGGTTTTAGTTTGTTTCACCTGCTTGTTCATTCCGCCACCTATGAACCGGTGTGGAGAGTGCGGTTGCCACCCAGTCCCAGTCAGCTTGTCTACAAGGCCATTCACTTTCGGTGAACATGTGCCTGGGTCCTGGGTGCTGTACTAAGTCTTGTTTCTACTAGTTTCTTGTTACTACTAGTAAGGCACTTGTTACTAGAAGCGATGCACTT